TCCTCACTGACATACACTGAGCTCGAGGGTGCTGTGACGGGCATTTTTCACAGGTTTCTGATTGATTGATTGATAGATAGTGACAATAATCATTAGAAACACGTCTCAGACACTACGAACTCCTAACAGACAGGTTTGAAGGATGAAAGCATAAATCTGGTTTATTACCGCGTGTTTCTGTAGTTTTCGTTATCTGATGGTGTTCTTCAGTAAAGTAACTGAGAACATGGAGACAAAACGACATCTGTCACGTCCTCTCTGGAGCAGAAAGCGGCGCAGGACCTTGGCGCTCTCCTCACCGGAGCAAACGTTTGTGGTTTTTTAAGCCTCTTCTCGACAAACAGCCGCAACCTTTGTGTCTTTACACGAGTGGTGACCTCTGCTGAGTGCGATGGAAAAAAAAAACTCTCAATTGTTTGTTTGTGCTGTTGGAGCTGGAACCAGCCAGAGAGAAATCTAGCAACGTGTGGATGAGGAAGGGCCTTGCTGACGCCATTGTTGTCGCCCGCGGGGGTTGATGTTAAATGTACCGAGGGTGACATTGTTTGTGTAGCCCCCCCCCTCCCTTTAGCCCTTTCATTATCCTCATGTGATCGACTCCAGCACGTCTCCTCCTGGAGCTTTCAGCCGCATCTTCACTTTTGACTGAGTCTCCTCTGTGCGAGGACCAGCCGCCATCTTTAAATCCTCCTCAGCCTCGACTGAAGGATCTGGGATCGTCTCTTTGGCGTCTTGCTGACCTCGACTTTCACACTTGTGGTTTTTCCTTACTGTTCCTTTCTTTGTGGATCCGTCTGATAACAGCGGTACCCTACCTTCTCCTTCATAACTCATCCTGTTGTTTGTCTGATCAAGTTCCCTAAACTTTGTTCCCTACACACACTCTCCTTCCACCTCCTTACTGTTTTATGTTACTGACCGGCCGCCGACGTCCTTCGAGTCAGAGGAAGCTGGTAACTTTGACATTATCCCGGTGCGTCCGGCCTGCAGCAGCAGTCAGTGAGAGGAGCTCACTCTAAGTATCTGAGTCACCTAACGACGAACGAGCTGGCAGATCATCATCAGCAACGTCACCGACGCTCCCTTCAGCATGAAAACAACCGCTCATCCCAAAACTTAGTAATAATCCAGGTGAGTGTATGTTCACAGCTGCCACTAAATTTCAAACTTTACAAACCGCGACCTTAAAGGCATCGAGTTCTCGCCTATATCGAGTTTAAAAGTGGACCTCTGCGTCCTGGTCGATGTGATCCACCCCCGAGCTCTCCATCAGCAACCTATCAGTACTCTACCTCTGCACACGAACACACAGACGGCGGTCCTTACCAGTTGACCCCACACATTTGTTAGGTTATGCCCCCGGCGTCCCTGCAGAGGCACATATATGATCCCCCGCTGCAGCGCTTCCTCTCACACTAGAAGCTTCAGCCAAAAACAAATCTGCTAAATAATAGGAGGCCATGAACCGGCCTGACGGCGGGGGGCGGGGGGGGGCTTTAAAAAGGAGGGTCCACTCAGCACTTCTGACTGCAAAACGCCAACGGATGATCCCAGCACACGCAGCCAATCAGGGAGCAGAATGAACCTGTTGCCATGGAGCCCTGTGCTGAGCGTTGTGGGGGAGGGGGGGTGAAGGAAGAGTTTAACCTCTTTTATCATCAAAACCAAGACTTCAGTTTAAACTTAGTTTGTGACATTTTTAGGCTTTTGGAAAACAAACATAAAATATATTTATATATTTATAGTTGTGATTCTTTTTGTAAAACTTTCTATTTTCTGTTTTTTTTTAAATAAATTTTAATTATAATTCAATTCAGTTTTATGGTCTAGACCAAACTCCTTATAACATTATTTACAGAGACCCAACAGTTCCCAGCAAATTGAAATATGAATAAAATTACAAAGTATTTACATAACAATTAGTGTGAAATTACATTTACAAGTTTCATAAATATTAACTGTTTAATAGATGTCAAAAAACTGTCAAATTCAACTTTAATACTGTTTAATAACTGACAGATATGTTGTATAATGATGGAAGTTGAATAAATGTTGTTTATCAGTGTATAAACATTGGTAAACTGTCCAAATACAGTTGTTATCAGTGTAAACAGCAATAATTACTGTAATCTCACAGATAATGACTTTTATTACACTTCTATAACTTTTAACATTCACATTAAAATAATAACAATCCAATAATAACAGCACTCTGCTGTAAATGTAAGTCTGATTATTGTATTGTAGCAGAGTTTTATTGTCGGATAATTCCACGTTCACTAGGAGAGATAAAAGGAAAGACATTTAATTTTAGTTTAAGAATAAGACGACAATTAAAACTATAAGTGTATCTTTATTTATTTGTTTTGATAGTAATTTGCATTCTCTTATATTAACAATGTGCTTTAGCTTGTATTAAACTAGTTGAATTATTTTTATGGTTTGGGTTTGATTCGGGCTCAGTCTCAGGACCCAATCAAAGCTTTACTTTAGGCCCCGATGGATCAGTTGAAGGATTTTCTCTCTTAAATCTGTTTAATTGTACTTTTTGTCTTTTTGGGGATTTGATCCATCTTTGTGTTTTTAGAAGTTCTGTACGATAAATTAAGATTTCTTCTCTTTTTTCTACAATATACTTTATATATTATGTATTTGAAATATAGGTGAGTAAACTGACTCAGTGTTTTATAGGTAAATCAATAACTGCAGATATGGATGATTTTCCTGATACATTCTCTGTCTGTATTTTTATCATTGTAACAGACTTAATATTCTTCTTTCTGACACATTCAGTGTTTTGTTCTTCCTGACATTTGTTCTATTAACTCTTTGTTGTTTTAACTTTTTACTTTTTGTGTACCTTAGATCGTCCCAATCTCATCCCAACACAAATGAGCTAAATAGTGTCAGCATGAAACTTCCCCCATTAATTACATTTATTATGGTTTTTTTTATTAATTATGCAAAGGGTATTAAATAATGTGCAGATTTGCATACATACATTGACAGACATTCATTATGAAACAAGAAATTTGTGTGCAAACACTTTTATTTATTTAATGATGTAATACATGTGGTATTAATGGTCTGTATGAGCTGTAATGTGATCTGCCTTTAAATGTAATAAAGTTTGTTTTAAAACGACCTTTATTTTGAAAAATCACATTTAAAGAGATGATCAGTATCGTCCATCACTAACTGGAGGTCTTGAATGTTTTATTGAAACAAATTGCAGGTGAGTTTTCCTGCTGTTCAAATCTGTCAGATCTTTATTTAAAATAGAGTTTAAACCTTTTTATTTAATTATTATTATTATTATTATTATTATTATTATTATTAGTTATTTCTGTATAACTGATCTAAACCTGATGAGCCAACTGTCTGTCTGCTCTGTAGAGGGCGCTGTGGCATCAGAAGAACACAGAGAGGTGCAGAGGAGGGAGGAAGAGGAGGGTGGAGGAAGAGGAGGGAGGAGGCTGTGTAGGCGTGTTTAGTCTCAGTCTGAGAGGATCGCCCCGCTGTTTGTTCACTGCTGCAGAGATCAACCTGGAGGAAGAGAGGAGGGGGGAGGAGGCCGGCACTGCAATGCAGAACATCAGAGGGGGGCGGGAAGAGGAGGGAGGAAGAAGAGGGAGAGAGCTGCCAGCTCTGCAGAAAGGGGGAGGTTCAGGGATTCCCTGTTGGTTTGGAAAAGCTCCAGAAGGAGAAACAGATTAAAACAGATTTCAGTCTTCAAAAACTCAATTTTCACTTTAAACAGTTCAAATTCCTTTAATGTCGTAACAATAAAGGAATTCTTGTTGTAAAGGAATCTACAATCTATTTATTATTATTATTATTTTTATTATTGATATAAATACTGGGGGGTTGAGTTCATTTTCCACAGTCATATAATTTACTGATCCAGTCTCGACACATTTGATCATTTATTAGTTTTATTCCTGTTTAATGAGTCACGATGAAGCGTTTCAGGTTGTTTTGTGACATTTGCGGTCTAAAGTTCCTGAGCTCAAAGCTTAAACACTTTTAGATACAACGTTGCTCCAACTGTGCGAGGTCGAAGGTAATCACTGCAGGAAGTCTGTCTGTCTGTATGTCTGTCTGTCTGTGAGAAAAGCAACAAACACAAAGAATGTAACTCTGAAATCAAACATTTGTCTTCAGTTTTTTCCATAAAGAAATAAATATTTGTGGTATTTTATACAATGTAAATTTTATAGAATTGTCTAAAATGTCTACACTGAATAAAAGAACTGTATCTGATTGAATCGTAGCTCATGTATCAGACGGGACGGAGACACATCACTAATATTAATGAATAGATAATTAAATTCCATCAGATCTATCTAGAAAACAATTCAGAAACCTTGACGTGGTCTTCGACTCCGACCTGAACTTTGGATCTCGTGTGGGGTTCGTCAATAGTTCCATTTCTCTCTCTGAGCGAAACTAAAGCTTTATCTGGAGCAGGCTGGATTACTGTAATGAACTCCTTTCTGGTCGACCCAGAAAGTTAAAACTCGGCTGTAGCTGATTTAGAAAGAGAGGACACCTTAACACAAGTCTTTACATCAGTTGTGTTGTTTTTAAAGCATTTTAAATGGATTTTAGTCATAATTTATTTTATATATTTTATTTATAACTTATTTGTATTATGTAGTTTCGATGTAGTTCAGTATAGCTTTTATTAAAAAAATCTGATTTTATTGGTATTTTAAAATCTACCTTATTTAGTTTTTATTCAATTCTGTCCTATTATCATCTGTGAAGCACTTTAAACTGCAATAAACTGTATGAAAGGTGCTGTACCAATAAAGTTTGATTGTTTTGCACATTTTATACCTCAGAAAAATACAAAACTAATATATAAAATATATATATTGTAGATCATAATTTGTCTTCAATCTCATTTTCTTAGAAATAAAGTTTCGTAAGAAGTATTGAGAACTGTGTTAAATTGTGAGTTGAGCGTACAAACAGAACAAATGAGAGCCCAAAAGTAGAAAGTATAAAATCATTTATTGACATGTGATTCTTTTTATAAATGGTCTTTGTGCTGATATAGTTTCCATTCCTGACAATAGGTGAAGAACAGAAATAAGAATATATATCTGTGGTTACAACAAGTCTTCTCTCAAGCTTTTCCTTAAAGTTGTGAATTTCCGAAACAGTGCATACGTGATATCGACAAAGACTTTGTACCATTGTAACATCGAGGTGCTCTTCATGCACAGACGGTGGTCGTTACATACACGTGACCGACAGCAGAAGGTAGTAAAGTTTAGAGAGAATGAAACCTAAGAGATATTCAAGCAGCAAGGCAAAGTCAGCTCAGTCTCCGTCTTTCCTCTAAAAGAAAATAAAAACACGCCATGCAGAGACGACAAACGACCAAAGTGCATCAGTGTGGACGCCGGCGGCCACAAACAACAACCGGCCTCTCAGTACATACATGGCAATAATTGCATATTAAGACATTATATCACAGCTACAGCAGAGTACACAAGACAAACGTACTTCTTATCCTCTGTCTTCTCAGGTGACATTTTAGACTAGATTTCATCTGATTAGAAGGAATAAAGCATCAAATGTGTCCTGATGCTGCAGATGTTTCATTGCTAGTTTTCAGTTGTGAATGGATCCGACAGAATTTGAGGTTAATTCTGGTTTGTTATCACATTTGCAGATGACACTCAACTTTTTATATATTAAAAGAAATAGGTTATAGTTTATATTATCAATCTGGCTTGCTTAAATTCTGCATTTAAATGATGTTGGAAGTTAGCTAAAAAAAAACTAAACTCCACATGAACGCGGACGCCATGTTTGTCCTACATTCAGATGTTTGTTTGGACAAAACCTCAACTTCTCTCAACAAATACAAAGACAGGAGATCATTTCACTTATTCGGATTTCAGTCTGAATGCTGATTTTCAGGATTAATGTGGTTAAATATACGACATTCAAAGCCATTCGATGTCGCACTACAGCATGGAGGCATCTCAGGCCAGACTCCATAGACAAAACCAGTCATTTTACCTTGCAGATAATTATAAAAAACACTTTAAACAAAATAAAAATCATCAAATTCTGACAGCCTTATGCAAAAGATTTCTACAGAGATAGATCTTTAGTTTAACCAGAAACAGCCGTAATATCACTATCACTCTCCACCAGACTCCAGAGACAAAAACACTAATTTTCCCATCGTAACATCTTCATTCAAAGTGGATAGAAAAAAAAAAAATCTCACCAAAACAGTCTCTGTTGGTGTTTCCAACGATCTTAGAGACGACTGTAAAAAAGTTAATTCAGACTGTGGTGTCGGACCAGTAGGTGTCCAGAAAATGTAGTGGGCGAGATGTAAACCTGACTGGCTGACTGGAGGAGGGAGAGACCAGTGAAACCGTTTCAGAGAACTTATTATTGAGGTTTACTGCGATAGAAAGCTCTGGAACTTCGATGGAGGCACAGATGAAGATGTTAAAGCTAATGAGTGAGTAGTGGACAAACCAGAATGATTTATCAGAGCTCTCCTGGGGCTTTATTGTCTGTTGTGACCGCCGACCAAGTGGCAAATAAGCCTGCAGTTCCTCTAACGGCCACTGGAGGCTGGCTACAGCAGTGAGTCAGTCTTCATAAGGCCCCATATTAAAATGTCCAACTTTACAGCAGAAATAAATGTGTCTACAGCCAGGTACAAAAACATTTTTGGTCTCTAGAGCTAATTTTCCCGTTGATGACAACTGTTCAATTCACCCCTTTAAATCATATTAAGGCTTAAAGTTATGCATAATTAAGGGCGTGGCTGCTTTGAGTGATATGTGGGTGCCGTCACAGGCGGCTGTTTTCAGTAACCAGGCTTCATCCAGCCGCCTCAGATGTCTCAACTACAAGTTTCGGTTCTCTTAGGTTGAACAGGTTTTATACAACCTCCTCACACTGATGTACCTCCTGTACAATCATCATGTATGACCGATGGTCGTTTCATATTGGATGTAGCAAAAACAAAGAAATGCTGAATGTTTCCACTCTTCACCAAAAGATAAAACCACTGAACTGGTCACTAACAGAGAAATTACTGCGTATGAGACCCTCTCTCCATCCTGTGTGAACCTCTGATCTGTGTTTAATATTAGGGATGTTCCCGGCGACACATTTCACCGTCTGTTAAACGAACTTGACTCGTCTAAAAGTAAGAAAACGGATTTGTTTGTGGGGGAGCAGCCGCCTGCAGGGGCTGAATCCCCGGATAGTAAAGATGACATTAACCAGCGTTCTTCATTAATAAAAATAATAATTAGTCATTTTGACTAATCACGCACAAGGTCGGCTGTGGAAGGTCATAGGAACCATCCAACATGTGAATCTGATTACTGATGTGTTTGGATGTTTTAAGCTCGTTGGCTCCATTCAGAACTGAAAACTATGGAAGCCCATTTCTACCATTGTGACATTATTTTGAGATACTAATTCAAAATACTGAGAATTTTATTTTCCTGTGACATTGGCAGAAATTGGCTTCCATAGGAAACTCACCAACATGGAAACATGCATACACAGTTTTCCTTTTTTAATAAAAACTAAAAGACTAACCAGTCAAATGTCCAGCTCTGTGCAGGAATTAAACATCAGACACATTCAGTGCCTCATTTTCACTGGGCTGCATTAAATCTCTCCCACTCACTCTGGAACCTCACTGCACACAGTTTACTCTGCAGGAAAGCTGAGACGTTCTGACGCCTTTTTCTCTAATAAATTCCAAATTCTTAGAGGGAAACTGACCATGACCTGGAAGTCTGGTCCACAATGTCCTTTAATGAGTTCAACAGCTTCCTGATTAGTTTGTCTTTTGATTGACACCAATCACAGAGCAGTGCTGTGATATGAAGTCAAACAGCTGTATCAGAAACACAAACCTATACAGGAGGACACCATCGTCTTTTACGTTTTAGTCAGCGGGTCTGTTTGTTTTGGAGAGGAGGAGACCTCTGTGGATCATTGGGCTCCCGGTAGAAACCTCCTGAACCATGAACACTGAAGGAATCGTAACCGGGAGAAGCTGACTGCAATGACTGCAATGGTGGTGAAGACAACAACTCCCATGATCTCACGCTGCTCACCTCATCACACTTCATATTTTGTTGTTGTTTTGATGTGAGAGACCCCCTAGTGAAAGAAATTGCATATTACCATAAATAAAACACTGCTGTCATTTGTGTGTATTACAAGTGTGTAAACCGTGTTTTGATTGCGAGTGCAGACCCAACGAGAGTTGATCCTTCAGAGGTTCTGAACAGACTTTGTGGACCAGACCTCATGAGACTAAAACAACCCTTAGAACACAACCTCCTTCAATCACAGTGCCAAAAACATTAAAGCCGTCTGTTATTATTGCCGATATCATGTGAAGGTCTCCAAACCCTCCTGAGGACCAAAGGTGCCATCATAAATGTCTTTCTATAGTCTGTGATCTGTCTTGCAGAGAGACGCTTCGAACGTAACAAAGTGCTTTTGTTGTCTGTGTGATGTCATCCACCGCCACCAGCACAGCCTAACGCTGTGGTCAGAAGCTCCTCACTGATGTCTGGAGGCGGAAGGGGTTCAATACCCGCTGACTGGAATCCACGTCCAGTTTACGAGAGACTGTCCTTATCGGAGTCGGGGGAAGGAGGCCTTGAAATCTCGAAGAAGGAACCCGACGACTTCCTGGATTTGAGAAGTCGCAGCATCTCAGCCAGCTGAGCCTCCAGCGCCGCCATGCGACTGTTCAGAGATCTGATGTCTCCTCGTAGTTCTTGTTTCAGCTCGACGAAAGAGGCCTGAATGCTCTGCTCCGGTATCGGACAGAAGACCCTCTTCTCGTCGGACTGGACCGGGCTTTGTTCCTGCGGCGATCTGGCGCCGCCGACATTGTCCAAACGGAGGTCGCTCTTTGTGATGCCGCTGTCACAGGAGTCGGTTTTCTTGAGGGACATCTCATCGTGAGACTTAGTTCTATCTGGCAACGTCTCCATGGACTCGGCCTTAGAGACGCTGCTCCACGACTCGGCCTTCACGACCGACTCTTTGAATCGTCCCCAGCCTTTAGCCTTCGGCGGCTCTGCAGATTTGCAACCGATCAGGTTTCCGTTTTGGGTGGCAGGCGCGTGGAGCATGACCCGGCTGGAGGTCCTGGACGAAGAGGAGGTGGTGGATGTTGAAGAGGTGGTGGGTGCGGCCGGACTCTCAGTTACCATGACTATACTGGTGGAGGCCAGGACCTCCGGACCTCTGGGCGGCTCCAGGGGAACGATACCTTTCTCCACATCTCCGGAGACCTGAATGACCCGCTCCCCGGCGAGCCGTGCCTCCCTCTGCTGCCGGAAACGCTGGAAGAGCCGTCGGACTGGATGATCCGGAGGGAGGTTCAGAGGGGCCTCGTTCTTCCTCTTCAACATCTCCTCCTCCTCACGCTTCACATCACTGATCTTACGGAAGACGATCTGTGAAAAGACAGGAAACAGCGATCAGATTCACTCTGAATTTGATGGATTTGCTGTTTATTGGACCACAAACGAGACTAGACGACACCGGGTGTTTCACTGATTATTGCACAAAAGCACAAAAGCTTTAGAACTTTATCAGTGATTTTGGTGAAACTGGATCACATTTTATGGAGAAAATACTTTCTGCTCTTTGCTCTGACGTCCTCCAACTGCTCCTGATGATGGCTACTTGTGGTTAGCTACTTTAGCTGTTAACTAGCTGCTGCTGTTAGCTGATTAGCAGTGCAGCTAACTCAGCCATCCCATTATGTGACTCTGGGAGCTCAGAGCAGTAATATAATTATAATTTGACAATATTTTTAAGAACGAGACCAGCTAGCTATCAGCCATGACATCGTCCCCAAATCAATATCAAGATTTTCATCAACGATAGCTCATGTGGCGGCTGCAGCCTGAAGTAGCGAGCTGAACAGTGGACGGGATGGAGGATCTCTTATAGGACGACACACTATTTAAAAGATATTCCTTTAGTTTTCATTCAGTTTATTTCATTAATTAAGAACAGTGAACAGTTTCACTGTATATAAAAAAAAAATTAACAATATCCACTTTTATAAGTGTTCAATAAGAACCGGTTTAAAATCCATTTGAGAAAACTCCTCTGGTACACAACGAGTGGAGGATGGCAGACAGGTTGGGAACTGCAGGTTGAGCACAGCGGTATGGTCCTTTAACCTCCGGACGCTGCACCAGGTGTGTGAGTGGTCAGGTGTTTTAACGTCCTCACTCCAGCCTGCTCCTGTTGCAGGTGATGCAGGAAGTGAAGGTTGTCTTACAGCTGACCTGTAAATCGATGCGTTCAGAGGCTTTAACGCATGCTAACAGCGTCGGCTACGTGTGACCTCCAGAGTCTGAGCGCGTCCTCGTTCTGCAGCGTCAGCGAGGTGTTTTCCCCTCAGCGACGAACCCAACCGTTGAGCTCCTGACCGGCTGAAATTGGATCGCGTGGGCGAAGCAGCGTCTGCAGGACGGTTCTCTCAGGGAGAACAGAGGAACGTGAGAGAACTGCCAATGTTCAACAACTGCTGCTGTTTGTTCTCACACAGTCTATCTGAAAGGCTGCTCTGTGCTCGCTACAGGCTTTACTCTGATGTTACGGCTCACACCTTCTGTTCTCGCTGGTCGGCAAACGCTGGTGATGATTTAATACACACTGATATCTGTATATCTTACAGTGAAAACTGTAAACTCTAAATAGGTTAAATACAGTTTCTGTAACCGTTAATAATATTTGTGATATCTCATGACAAACCTTTATTTCATTGTCAAATAAAATAAATTTTTTAGTTTCTCTTCTCGTCGTATCTCGTGGTAAAAACCTCTTTATACGGCATTCATATGATATTTTTATGTGTTAATGTGTTTCTTTTGATGGTAAAAACTTTTTTATATTCATTTATATAGTAAAATATGGAATAAAACAATAAAAAGTTCTACCATATTTATTACAGTAATTATTATTTAAACTATATTTTAACTATTATTTGTATGATTGAGAATAAAATATCTGGTTCGGTGACGTACGGCTCAGTGTTTGGCACAGGGGGACCGCTGTGATTGGTGAAACAACAATTGATCAAATTTGTAGAAATTGCAAGACCGCACAGAATACACAGGAATTGGTTGAATTTGTGTTTATCACAACTTCCTGATGGGAATTGCTGTATGTTTGTTTACTTATATCGCCTCCTCTTTGGCAGGTCGTCATCGTAAAAGAGAATCAGTTCTCAATGGACTGATCTGGTTTAATAAAAGTTAAATCTAAATAAAAAGATAAAGAAGCTCAAACTGTCTGTTGCTTCCTGTGGAAATCAGGAATCAATAAGGGATGGAGAAAGAATCGGACCGATAAGCAGAATCGATGGTGGTATCAATAAAATGGTATCAGTTCCCGTCTCTTGAGAGGAACATATGTAGACCTAATGCATGTGGATTGTTATAATGTCAGAAATAACATATAAATACAAATATATTTCACTCAATAAATGTGGTTCTGTGAAATACAGCATCAGACCTGTAGGAGGAACCTCAGTAGGACTGAACTTACTGAACATTTACTGAGCAGTCCGTGGTGAAGTGACTCTAATGAAGGGTCAAGATCAAAGACTTCAGCTTGGAATGTGTAAGTTTAGGTTTTTGTTGTTTAAGGATTCATGCTGTTGTTGTTTATCCAGCTTAACTTTAGCATGTTGCTGCGTGTCTACTGCCTAATGTTGTAATACTGAGTGACAGTAAAGAGAAACTGTGAACATTAAACCTCATTTAAAGCCGACTAACGACAGCAGTATGTTGGATGCTGGTAACGGTTAATGTTTTTATCTACAGAGGGAGCGGGTCCTCTTCTGGCAGAGAACCAGAAGTGCTGAACAAGGGACTCTTCAGCGTTCAGGGAGCAGCTGAAGTCGGAGGGTTTGGAGGTGAGAGCTGCTGCCAGCAGGTCGTTTCTCTTCTCCAGCGTCATTATTGCACAGCAAAGCAGAACAGGACATGATGGCTTTCACATCGATTTACAGCAGAGAGAGAGAGAGAGAGAGAGAGAGAGAGAGAGAGAGAGAGAGAGAGAGAGAGAATGAGAGAGAGAGAGCAGCTCATATACAGCAGAGAAAGAGAGAGAGCAGCTCATATACAGCAGAAAGAGAGAGAGAGAGAGAGAGAGCAGCTCATAAACAGCAGAGAAAGAGAGAGAGCAGCTCATATACAGCAGAGACAGACAGAGAGAGAGAGAGAGAGAGAGAGAGAGAGCTCATATACAGCAGAGAAAGAGAGAGAGCAGCTCATGTACAGCAGAAAGATAGATAGAGAGAGAGAGAGAGAGAGAGCAGCTCATAAACAGCAGAGAAAGAGAGAGAGTAGCTCATATACAACAGAGAGAGAGAGAGAGAGAGAGAGAGAGAGAGAGAGAGAGAGAGAACAGCTCATATACAGCAGAGAGAGATTGTATTGTATTTTGATGCTTTGCTTTGGCAATATTGTTTTTAAAAAAAAACTTTCATGCCAATAAAGCCCATTTTGAATTTGAATTGAATTTGAATTGAGAGAGAGAGAGAGAGAGAGAGAGAGAGAGAGAGAGAGAGAGAGAGAGCAGCTCATATACTAACAGCTCAGTAAATAATTAAATCGAATTAATACTTTTAATACTGAGTTCTCCGATCAGGGTTCAATTCAGTTTTTTGTGTTTTTCTGTTTAACAGAATTAAAGCTAAAGTAATGATCAGGCCCTCGCAGTGACGATCGGGCCCTCGTAGTGTGTTGGGGTGCAGTTACACACCAGCACATCAGGTGTAGACAACGCTGTGAAAATGTCACGTAAATCAGATGATGATCACCATACAAGCCTTACTTCCTGTTTCCAGAAGGGGGCCCTCTGACTCTCCTCAGACAGGGGAAAACTGTGTAGACCATCTGCAGCCCCCAGAAATGCGATTGATTGGGGAATAAAATATTAAGAATCTGTCAATAGGATCTTATTTCACTATTTCACATCTATTCCACCCCCACCATGTTCCCTTCATCAGCCCTCACTGCAGGACATTCCCCCAGGAAGCCTCTCCTGGCTCTGGACAGCATTAAGACCTCACACTCCTGCAGCATTAAATAAAAATCACCGTTGAATCAGAGTTTGGAAAATTTTTAAAAACCAAAATCGGCCTGCTGACTCTGACTATGCCGCCTTCTGAAAGCAAATATTTTCATTAAATAGATAAGAAGATATTAATGAGTGACGTAGTCTAATGTAATTGATCCAAACGTAATATGTGGCTGCTCTGCTGTTCACCGAGCTTTCTGAAACATAATCTGTGTTTTTTCTCTGTTAATGGAGGTCTCCATTTACTGCACACTGTAAAACCTGATGAGTTGATTCAACTGTTTAAAGGAAACTGATCTTAAACTGTTTCACTTTATTCACTCAAACAACTGAAGCATGATGCAAGATGTTTGATGTGAGTAGAAGTAACAATAAATAAAAAGTCGTTTTTTTAAGTTACTTCATATGCAGCATTTATCCAAACTTATTTAAAATGTGTGAACAGAATTTATATGAATAAAGTCGTGCATGCATGTACGCAGTTTTCTTCCACTAAAGCAAATTATAACATTACCTGTTAAAACAGCTGACGTACCATAAAAACTATTAAGAATTAATTGAATATCAATATGCAGCCAATTAATTTACACTTGGTCGATCAATAAGAATTATTTGGATGCATATTTGAGCTTATTATGATTAATTAACTGAAATAAAAACAAATATCCTATACAGCATTATAATGCTTATACTTTCATAATTATATAAAGTCAGCTTAAAGAAAATGAGTCAATGGAACAAACTTGAATTGAAACGCCTGTAATTAAAATATGCATAGTTTAAATGAAATACTAAATGTTCACAATTCAAGTTCAGCTTTTGTGTGCATGCCGAGGATTAATTTAAACCTTCTTTATTAATCGTCAAAATTTCCTTCAGCACCAAAAAAAAAACTGTGAACATGTCACTGGGGCTTTTCCTTCAGCCCCTGTGAACATGTCACTGGGGCTTTTTAAGGGGCGTGATGGCAACTGTGTGATTGTTGTTCCACTGTAGCTCACTTCCTGTATGTGTTTTGAAAGCAGATGTGAGCGTGTGATCAGGAGTCACTCCTCATGTGTTTTCACTGGAAACAGATTCTGTAGTTTTAAAGCAGCTGTCGGTTTCAGGTCTTCATCTTGGTTTCTTAAATGCTATTCTTAAACTTCTGTTTCTCGGTGACCCTCAATGCTTACCGATGGGACAGTCGGCGGTCACACAGAGGCCTCTGCTGTGTGTGTTAATGGATCACTGATCAAATCTGTAAATCAGTGCATTGATTGTTGCTGTTTCGATCAATAGAGGGTCTTATTAAATCAACCTTATAGGGCTCAGGGACTCGTTAACTCTTGCTGCTGGTAATGAATGTAAAGACACAACAAGAAACTGAAACTCTGAAACCGCTGCGTTCATTTTCAAATATATACTGATGGAGACGCATTAGCCACTGGAGGTTATGCTAGCTGTTGCTAACCCTATGCTTAGTATGTTTATATTGTGACGCAGTGGTTTGGACGCTGTAGAAGCACTGGACTGCAATCTTTACCTTGATCCCACACTGACACACACACATACTGGAAAGTTAGCCTCTCTGAACTGCTAGCTTAGCTACAACACAGCTGCTACATTTTTACAACAGAAGAATATAAGAACCACTTTAGGCCTACAACAGTGATTAATGAAATCTAAAAAAAAACAAAAAACGTGGCTTGTTTTTCCGCTCTGTGTCTGGTTAACTTCTGAGTGAGGAGCTTAAATACTCTTTGGTGTTTCCAGGACTCTTGGGAACCGTGTTTATATTTTGCTGAATCTAAATAGCAGTGGCTGCTAGTTCTGAGTCTCATGGATGGATTTATTAGCTTTCACGACTAACGCTGCCGGCTTAATTTATTTATTTCCTTTTGGTCAAAAATGGCTCTTTTGATCAGAGGTACACGCATTCTTTACTCAGATACAACTACAGATATTTGTAATATATACATAAAGTAAAACGGAAGTACTCTCTACTAAAAAAGGACATTTATTCTGACTGTTTCTGTGCAAAGCTTACTAAAACTTGAAATAGGGTTGAGTCTCCTTCTCTTGTCTCTTGACGTCTTTTACGACGTTTTCATCACGTTGCGCTCTGTCCTGCACAGATTGCACCAGTGTTGATGTAGGGAAGGTGTCCAGAAATGCAAAATATAATCTTTAATTCCCCTCAAAAGCATTAAAACTAAAGTAACAGATCTGTTTTTTGAAAATGGAAAAAGTAGAAAGTTCAGATATTTGTGTAAAAATTTAAAATAAATCCTATTTACTGCTCCTCTAAAGCTAAAGTTCTGAAAACACACAACTCCCATGATCCCATGCTACTTCCAGACGCAGTCAAACCTTTGTTGTTTTGTTGTTGCTGTAATGGTGGCGGATGTTTAAATGACTCAAACACTCTTCAGCCTAAATGAGCCGAGTTTGAATGCTGAACTGAGCGTGTGTGAACTGCAGTGCGGCGGTCGGTCCGTCATCATCCACCTCCACACTGACATCACACCTGCTGTGTGGAGGAGGAGGAGAACAAAGCAGCTTATGTGAACAGAGCGACTGCAGGTCACATGACTCACACACGCAAACACAGGAGGAGCGTCCTGGTGTTTGATTCTCTTTGATGAGTTCTTTCTTTGTGCCTGCAGAGTGAAAAAAGGTTCTAATGAAATGGAAATCATCGGCGACGACTCACCCGCTTCCTCAGGTTGTAGGTGAGCACCAGGTTCCTGGCGAAGTGGTTGGCGAAGGCGGCGTAAAACTCCAGGACTTTCTGCAGCGCGTCTCGCTTGATGATGTGGAGGTCGCAGTAGGTCAACGCTCGCACGTTAGCGCACGACTGCGCCAGCGTCATCTCCTTCCAGAACACGTCGCCGAACACGTCACCTTTACCTGCAGACAGACAGACAGTTAACAGACAGACAGTTAACAGACAGATACTGTATCTTTATGGATGATATTGATCAGTATACACTGTATCTTTATTGATTATTGATCAGAATACACTGTATCTTTATGGATGATATTGATCAGAATACACTATCTTTATGGATGATATTGATCAGAATACACTGTATCTTTATGGATGATATTGATCAGTATACACTGTATATTGATTATTGATCAGAATACAGTGTATCTTTATGGATGATATTGATGCTGTGTTGTCAGTCACGTAACTGAAGAGTAAAGACATTTGTAAGTGTACAGACAGTTAATTAAAAAGATAGTTTAGAACAACAGTAGCATTCGCATATACAGGCGGGCGCTATCTTGGGAAAACAGTCAGGGGTTAGGTCATTCATGCAGATGATGCAATGATCAAGACTTATAGCTGGCGATGTGAACTAAAACAAACGTAATTTGCTCAATATATCAGAAATAATCGCACTGATGTAAAACACAACTTATCTAGTGTACTTACTCAGTGGATAACTGTCCATCTGGTCCCTCCGGTATGAGTCGCTGCCTCCAATTTATTTTCGAGACAATGCTACTGTTGTTCTAAACTATCTTTTTAATAAACTGTCTGTACACTTACAAAGTTCTCAATGCTTCGGTTTATACATAGGGGCCCTCATTATGCTACCGTGTTAGTGTGGTGCTATTTTGAGCCTTGTTAGTGGTATAAAAAGCGATTTCTTTTCACGTTACTCGGTGCCCCGTCGACTAGCGTTATAAGCTAATTAGCGGTTTGTGCTAAAACCGGTCACGGTCGATTAGCATGAAAACATATCCCAGAGAACGGACCGACTCGGTACACGTGTTATTAACCCCAGGTTCATTTTGCGCCGGAATTGTCCTTTAAGATAATAAACAACCTGTTAAATTTATGTCCAATTACACATTAACAAATGATCCAGTTTCCAATGTTCTCTTCAGAAAGTATCTTTTTCAAACAAGAATAAACTTTAGAAAAGATCTTTTTGAAGTGTAAATTAAAGTCTGATATTAAAGTTTAGTTTCAGTGCTTCCTGTTTGAACCGACATGGTGAACACACACATTTATCAGACTGCAGCTGCTCCAACTGAACTCCAGCCTCACTCGGAGAAGAGGAAGTGAAGCTGAGGTGAACACACTTTAAATAGTTTCTGATGAGATGTGAAAGCAGCAGCGGCGGTGTTAGGCTCAGAGATATCAGCAGTGAAAGTCTAAATATTTATCCAGAGAGGAAGTGAAGCTGATTCAGACGGCTGATAACGAACCTCTTCTGGTAATTTATCCTGAAGTAAAAGCAGACTGAAAAATCCATTTAAGATGACATCCCTAGTACCATTTTTTAAATCTGTAACATTAAACAGTGTATGAACTAGAGCTATGTTCTATATGGAGTTGATTCAATCAATAATCATTCACTGTTTATCCAGTCTGAAGCCACATTTTTACCATCCACTGTTTAGATCTTGGTGCTTTTTAACTCTACATTTGAACTGGATGAAGGATTTTAGTCATCGGACACCTGGATCTTAAGTTATCAGAGAAACAAGCCGAGCTAACGTTAGCATGTTAACAGGAATTCCTTAATTTGGTTTAAAGTGAAATACTGACACTGTATGTAAAGTCAGAGGGTCACCAACGTGTCTCAACCCTGTCAGTGAATCCGGTTTAGACATCACAGAGGTAGTTTGGGGACGGATGTGGACGTTCGCTGCAGTTACAGTTGATACAGTTTGTGTATGAGCGAGATGTTAAAGAGCTCAGAGCTGCTGTGAATTGCATAATGACTCTGACAGCTGTTTGTTCTGCCGTGCTCCGCCTCGACAGCTTCCTCCATCATCTTTCTCTCTGTTTGTCTCTGAACCGGTGATCGCTCTCCCTCCGTCAGCCCAAAAAAAACAACACTTCATGCATAAAAATGCTGCTCTGCTAATGAAAGCCCCGGAGCGTAATTCCTGCGCTCGCTGACAGGAACACGTTTGGTTTTGATGTGCTGAGGAAGCGCTGTGTGTTTCTGTGTGGCAGGTGACTCTGCAGGGTTTCTATTTCAGAGCTCAGGTGTTTCCTCCTGACAAAGAGAAGGTGGCGTCAGCTGGCACAAACACATTTTCACCTCCCTATTTGTGTTCCTGCTGAAGAAGCTCCTGTATCGCTGTGAGGAATCTGAGCGAGAGGTTTTCTTGACAACACAGGAGAGTATTCGCTCACAAACAGTCAGTTCGGTACTGACACACTGAACTAGTTTAATGGTGCAGGTTCATTGCAGCTGTTCCCACCACAGCCCATGTTTATGTTCTCAAAGTATAAAAGTATAAAGTACTCTCTGGGTTCTCTGATGGTGGTCTTAGGAACTGGAGCTGTTTGAGTTCTCACCTAAAATGGCCACCACCTCATCATCCTGGATGACCTCGAGTGACCCCGACACCACGAAGCACAGGCTGTCCACGCTCTCTCCGGCGTGGTAGATGAGGTCACCCGGCGCGCTGTGGACGGTCTGGAACTCCATGGCGAGCGCCCGCAGGCAGCCATCGCTGGCCAGCCGGAACGCCGGGTGCTCCTTAAACACCTTCCTGTTGAGGTGGACGCAGATGTCCGCTCGCATGTCCTTCGGACAAATCTGCAGCACCTGCGGGCATACATTAGAGGACTGGCATGGGCTGATGTCCGTCAGGACTGACATGGGCTGATGAATCTTTTCGGTCCTGACTTCATGTTTACTCGGTTACCCAATAAAGACCCAAAAATATTCAAAAAGGAAAAACTTGCTCCACAATTACAATGCAACAGAGCTTTCAAATAACTAAGGCGTTACCTTGTCAGTGTCGATGCCTCTGGACATTGACCAGGTGGAAACGATGTAGTCCATCACCCGCTCGCTCAGGCCTTTGGGGACCTGGTAGAGTTTGAGGAAGTCTCGCACGCTGTTGAGCATCTCGTGGTAGCGGTTGGTGTTGGCGTACATCTGCTGGAAGATGGTGGTGACGTTACCGAAGATGGTGGCGTACAGCAGCGCTGTTAACAGGAAGAAAACCAAAGACGCAAAAACACAACTTTATCAGTGATTTTGGTGAAACTGGATCAAATTTAATGAGAGAATATTTTCTGGTTTTCCCTTTGACGACCTCCGGCTGCTCTGCCTCAACTGCAACCTTACAGGGCTCAGGAGCGGTACCGAGGTGATTTACAGAGTTTTCTGATGGAAATGTTGCTAAATGCTGCTAATGGTAATGTAAGATGCTGTTAGCTAGTTTAGCTTGTGCAGGTAACATTAGCTGACTCAGCCCTGAAGTGACTTGCCGTCAACAGAGCATGAGTTCTCTTGGTGCAAAAGTGATTGTTAATCAATGAACACAGACAGTAAAGAGAGATTTCCTTCACTTCCATCTCTTCAGGCCTAAAATCCATCTTTGTTTCCCAGAGTCTCAGTCTGAGAGCTGATTGGTCACATGTGTCTCTGTGTCTGGAGACAGATTACCTGTTCATCAAGGCCAACTGCTGTAGTCCACCCCTGACTCAGCTCCTCTTCCTCACAGCCTGTCAGCAGTATGGACCGGGGTCACCTGATCAATACGGACCCCGTCCACCAGCAGCAGAAACCTGCCGTCATCCTCTGTTAACTCCCTGACAGCAGCTTACAATGTGGAGGTGTCAGAATCATTACTCGCTGTGACCTTCAGAAAGATTACTGTACACCAACGCTGAAACAGCAACAGCAGGTCCAGAACCAGATCCAGGTCCGGAGGTTCACCGCTGAGAAGCTGCACACAAGCTGTGTTTGTGTTATTTTTAACTTGCTGGACGGAAGAAGCTCACAGCTCCATTATTTCACCAACACTAAAAGCTCCAGTGTGTCAGAAATGGATCATAATATTCATAGGTGTGTTTAGTGTATAACCACCTGAAAATAAGGTTTGAATAGACTCAAATTTACACTTGGCAATGTGAATGGTGTAAATTGGGCGACACAAAAGGGCTGAATATGCCAAATCTGCACCATTCACATATTCGAGTGTAAAATATTTAACTTTGAGGTAAAAGCTGTGGCGTATGTCTTTTATAGTGTTGTGTGTGTGGAGGGAGAGACAGAGCTGCTGCTGCCCACAGACAACTGCTGGAGCCCACAGACAGCTGCTGGAGCCTGGGGAGCTCGGCAGCAGAGAGCCCGCAGTTTGCATTGATGAGTTAATCTGTGTCTGGACACAGAGACACATCTGACCAATTATCAGCTCTCACACTAGAATATGTGTTTCAGGCGGCTTGAGGAGCTTTTGTTTTATCCACAAAATCCAACTGTCCTCAGAGAACCTCAGATGGGGGACTGGTTCCCTAACTAACTGATTTTACAGGATAAACACAAGGAAGCTAACAGCAACTGTTTCCAGTTTCACAGAAAAGATGACCAGGTGGTTGAATCTCTGTGCAGATGGAAACTAAAGTAAGTAATTTATTTTAATAATAATGTTAATCAAAGTCCCGGTGTCAATGAGGTTTGGTCCGGTCCCTCTGAGAGCAGAGGCCAAGGATGTTCTGGAACGAAAATGGACCAGCTATTTCTGTCCTTCCTCTCAGACCGCGTCCTGATGTCACAGTAAGCTTTACAACGCTCGCTATGCTAATGACCCAAACTCTCATCCAGGATGCAGGATGCTGGCTGTCATAGCAACCGCTTCCCATCAGCCTCCAGCGGCTTCTTTCTGTGTGCCAGGAAGCTGACAGGAGGGGGGGGGGAATCCAATTCTCAGCTTCCTTCAGTCTTCCTCATGAATCTAAATAGGAAACCAAAAGGTTTACCCAGACTGCATTGCACCCTCGGTACAGTGCTGCAACAGGAGCCCCGGAGGGACAAAACTGCAAGATGAATCCCTGCACAGAGCTCAACTCTCTCAAACAGGAAGTCAAACTGGGTCAGGAGTGGACACTGTGACCTCCTGACCTGATTTCACTGCTGCTAAAGGTCAAAGGATCTTAACTTTGACTCATTTCCAGGTCCAAAAGGGTACAGGGGTCCTGATCTGAGTCCCGATTTGAGTCCCGATCTGATTCCTGATCTGATTCCTGATTTGAGTCCTGATCTGAGTCCCGATCTGATACTTGTATTTCTTATCTAGATAACAATGTGCACACTTAAGCTTCATTAAGAGTCTCGAGGCCTTTTTGATTTTAAGAGTCACAGAAAATATGTTATATTTAAAGTTGAGTTTATTAATCAAGATCCAAACTTCGAAGACAGCCTCGTCAGAAAAGTATGCAGTTAAAACAACAAAGATCTAACAGACTAACAAGAAAACACTGAATCTGTCCAAAGAGAATCCGGTTCAGGCTGTCTGACAGGAAATAATCTGCTCAAAATTCATCCAAATCTCTGGTTTTACACAAACTTCCTGCAGTTATTGATTTATCTATAAAATATGTCAGTCAGCAGTTTACTGATAGAAAATTCCCTTCAGGCAAAAGAAACCACTGTGTTAAAGTTTTTCTTGACAATGGAATATATATAACATAAAAAAACAGCTGCGTAACAGTGGATGTGAAGCAGAAGATCGGATCGGGTCAACCATTGGATCACTTAAAACATGCTTTAATCTTTGACGTTTTTATTTAGTGTGTAAAAAATAGTTTCTAGGATGTACAGTGAGCTCTGAGTGTCTGATGAGGTGACTGTGATCCGGACGAACAGACTGGAGATCCTGATGTGACGCGAGGCGACGGCACCTTCCGATGAAGGAGACGAATTGTCAACATTGAGGCTCAGTGAGGAAAAGCTTTTACCTGCAGATATTCTGGAAAACCTCCACAGACCGTCTGTGTGCTGGAGGATATTAAAGCTGCAGAGTGACACTGAGGAGGATCTGCTGTCAGAATACACTCACAGGTATGTTTTCATTAATCACCCCAATGTAGGAACTGTGTGTTTGTTACAATCAGAAAGGTAGATCCCCTGTTCTCGATGCGATGTACATCTGCGCAGCCGCCATATTGGAGAGGTCAACAGTTAACAGCTAGTTAACAACAGACTTACTGCAAAATAACTTGCATCTTTCTGAACCGAGTTTCATGAAAAAAGTTGACAAATTGAACCTGATCGTCAGACCAGCACCAAATTTTACTCAGTTAAACACAAATTTTACTTCTCAAACCAAGAAAACGCTCAGAAAACAGAAATTTAGCAACATTTAAAGCAGTAATTTGTGTTCTTTATGCATCAGCTCACACACTCTAGCATTCATGTGTTCACTGTTTTTATTCATGATGTTGTAGGAACGTGTGCGATTAGTCGACGCTAGTGAACTCGTAAACACAGTCGACAGCAGAATCACACTAGTCGGTCAAATTAATTATTATATTGAGGAGAGGGACTTCAGGCTTGAAGGCAGCAGATGAGAAGAGCTCCGACAAATACACTAATTAAATGAGTTTAAACCTCCAAAAACCAAGAAAACTGTGGGCAACCTCAATTTCAACTACTTTGTAAGAAAAATACTGATATGAGGAAGAGCTCGCGCAAAGGGAATCAGCAAGGAAAGCAGGTACAGAAAACGATAACTCCATTCGCACGAAGCAGCGCAAAAATGGCCGACAGCGCAGAGGTGAATACACCGGAGGAAACACCTGATACCACGCCCGAGACCACGCTTTCCCTGCGGATGCTTCAAGAGGAGCTACAGACATCCATAGAAACAGTGCTGGCTCAGATAAAAGTGGAGATCGCGACATCATTTAAAGAAATTAAAACTGACATTGTTTTTCTTCGCGAAGAGACAAAAGCTGACATACGGGCCATACGAGATGAGCTCGCCGGTGAGTTAACACGACTCCGCTCGGCGCAGACGGAGATAGTTAACGAATGTAAAGAGATGGGAATCGTGCTTTGTGAAACAATGGACAGAGTAACTGCGCTGGAGAAGTCACAACAATCAATCAGTAAGGAATGTAAGAAAATGCAGGACAAATGTCAAGATCTAGAAAACAGAAGCAGAAGACAAAATCTACGACTGGTTGGTATTACTGAGGCAGCCGAAGGAGGCAACATGATCAAATTCCTCGCGGATTTCTTTCCCGCTGTGCTCGGAGCCGACAACTTCAGCTCCCCTGTGGTTATAGACCGGGCACATCGCACACTTGCCCCGCGGCCGACCAGCGGAGAGAGACCGCGGGCCATTCTCGTCCGCCTCCACTATTATACAGACAAGCAGAAGATACTGGATCTGGGCAAAACTAAAGGGCGACTGACATACAAAGGGGACCAGGTGCACATTTTCCCAGACATGAGCCCGGAGGTCAGCAGACAACGCGCTGCCTTCAATCCAGTGAAGAGGAAACTCCGGGAGGCCAACGTCACGTACAGCCTGTTCTACCCGGCCAGGCTCGCTTTCAATGTGGATGGCATTAGACACTCCTTTGATTCCCCGAAAGCTGCTGAGGATTTCTACGACCAGAAGATCGCCAAAGTGGACTGATCCCCATGAATGCAAGTAATAGTAGTGATCTAAGTTTGATATCCTGTTTGTTAAAACTTGTGGTATCAATAACTATTGTGGATGACTCAGGACCTATATGGAAATACTTGATATAGCAGGTTTTGCATTAGATTTTTTTCTCTATTATTCATCTCTCTCATTAACACCTGACTTCCCTTTGTGCCAGTTCTCTACTTAGGCTTTGGATGTATACATTCCTAAACCTATAATATAATCTCAAGGAGATAGACAACCATTGACACAAGCTATACAGTCAATATTGTCTTTGGGAGATGAATGAATAATTTCACTTACAGATCTATTTTTGTTACTAATGTTATTTGCTCCTCTTTTGTGTTAAGTATAACAAAGACTAGAGTTTGGAGGTTTAAAACAGAAACATATTTAAATGGAGCTTAGAGGCCATGTCTATTTTTTTTTCTTTTCCTTTTCTTGATACTTTTTTCTCCCTCTATTGAGGTGTGTTAAATGGCAAGGTGCCTTTGGATTTTGGTAAGCTATTCTTTCCCCCACCACTTGTTTGGGAAGGGTCGG